ACCTAGAACACATGGGCCTAACAGACATCTATAGGACACTGCACCCAAAAAACACTGAATACACATTCTTCTCAAGTGCACATAGAGGGCCTCCCTGGTGGTGCAAGGGGTTAAGATGCAACCTATGAAGCAATCCGCAACCACTGCAGCATGAGCTTGATCCCTGGCCATGGAGCTACCCACATGGCGCAGCAGACCACTCCTGGCTTAGCTGCTGCTCCCCTCAGCAGTGTATTTCAGTCAATCCGCCTGTTCTGTTCCCTACTCTGTATCTGGTGAATCTTTTCATTCCCCCACACCTCTGGCCTGAACCCCTGTTATTGTACGCATAAATAAATAAATCTTTAAAAAAAGTGCACATGGATCATTCTCCAAAGACAGACCATGTACCGGGACTCAAGACAGACATCAACAAATACACGAAGGTCAAAATCATACCAACCATGTTCTCTGACCATAAAGGTGTCAAACCAAAAATCAACTAGGGGGAAAAAAAAAAAAGCAAGGAGCCCCCCCCCCCACCCCGGCCCATCACATGGAGAGTGATGAGATCAAAGAAGAAACTAAGAAATACATTGAGACAAATGACTAAGAGGACACAACTTTCCAGATCATGTGGGACACAGGAATATCAGTGATATGAGGAAAGTATATGGAAATACAGGCCCACATCAAGAAACAAGAAAGAATCAAAAAAAAAAAAAAGAAAAGAAAAAAAAAAAACCCAGCCTAATTTCCCATCTCAAAGAACTAGGAAAGAACAACAAAGATACCTAAAAACCAGTAGAAGAAAGGAAATAATAAAAATTCAAGTAGAGATAAGTGAAATTAAAAAGACAATACAAAAGATCAATGAAACCAAAAGCTGTTTCTTTGAAAAATAAACAAAAATGGACAAACCTCTAGCTAGGCTCACAAAGAAAAAAAAGGGAGGTACTCAAATAAATAGGATCATTAAAAAAAAGAGGAAAGAGTACAACAGATACAGCAGAAATCCAGATGATAACAAAAAATTACTATGAATATTTGTAGGCAAACAAGCTCAACAATCTAGATGAGATGGACAAATTCTTTGATCTATATAATCACTCAAGGCTGAATAAAGAAGAGATAGTAAACCTAAACAAGCCAATTACAAGTAATGAAATCAAAACAGTAATCAAAACCCTCCCCCAAAACAAAAGCCCAGGACAAGAGGGTTACACAAATGAGTTCCACCAAACATTCAACGATGGACTGATACCTGTTCTACAAAAATTCTTCCCCAAATTGAGAAGACAGAATACTACCAAGTACATTTTGCAAACATTACACTAATACCAAAACCAAATAAAGACAGCACAAAAAAAATAAAACAACGGACCGGTCTCCCTAATGAGCACAGATGCAAAATTATTCAACGAAATCCTAGCAAATGGAACACAAGAATGCATCAAAAGGATAATACATCATGACCAAGTGAGATTTATACCAGGGACACAAGGATGGTTCAACATCCGAAAATCAATCAATGTAATTCTCCACATCAAAAAAAAAAAAAAAAAGGAAAAATAAAACCATGTGATCATATCAGTAGTTTCTGAGAAGGCATTTGACAGAAGTTCAACATCCATTACAATGAAGGCCCTCAAAATTCTTGGAATAGAAGGAACATACCTCAACTTAATAAAAGGCATATAGGGCCAACCTATGGCCAATATCATTCTTAGTGGTGAGAAACTAAAAGCCTTCCCTTTAAGTTCTTGGACAAGACAAGGATGCCAACTCTCACCACTGCTTTTCACTATAATAATGAAGGTCCTAGCTAGAGTAATTAGGCAAGAGAAAGACATACAAGGAATCCAAATAGGGAAAGAAGTACAACTATCACTATTCACGGATCATATGATAATATGTAAGGAGAACCCTAACAACTCCACAGAAAAGCTAATTAAAACAATAAACCAGTTTAGTAAAGTAGCAGGCTACAAAATCAACACACAAAAATCAGGAGCCTTCTTATATGCAAATGATCTATCTGAAGAAGAAGAAATGAAGAAAACCACCCCATTCACAATTTTACCAAAAAATAATTAAACACCCGGGAATAAACCTCACAAAGGAAGTGAAACACCTATACAAAGAAAGCTGCAAAACATTGATAAAAGAAATAGAACAAGACACAAAGAAATGGGAAGACATTCCGTTCTCATGGTTTGGAAGAATTAACGTTATCAAAATGGCCATTCTACTGAAAGCAATTTACTGATTCAATGCAATTCCAATAAAAATCTCAAAGGCATTCTTCAAAGATATAGAACAAGTATTGATGAAATTCATATGGAATTACAAAAAAACCGTGAGTAGCCAGAGGTCTCCTGACTAGAAAAAGGAAGAATGGAGGCACTACACTCCCAGACTTCAAATTGTACTACAAAGCCATAATACTTAAAACAGCATGGCACTGGAACAAAAACAGACCCACAGATCAATGGAATTGAATTTAAAATGCAGCCATAAAGTCACACATATATAGACCACTAATCTATGCCAAAGGTGAAAATAATATGTACTGGGACAAGGACAGTCACTTCAATAAATGGTGCTGGGAAAAGTGGACTGCTACATGAAAAAGAATGAAACTAGACAACTACCTCACACCATGCACAAAGATTAGCTCAAAATGGATAAAAGACCTGAATGTAAGGCCTGTACCCATACAATATGTAGAAGAAAACATGGGCAAATGACTCCATGACATAGATCTCAGAAATACCTTTAACGACTCATCCCATGAAGCAAATAAAATGAAGGGAAAGATAAACACCTGGGACTACATGAAGCCAAAAAACTTCCGTAGAGCAAAAGAGACACCCTACAGATTGGGAGAAAATGTTTCCACTGCACACACCTGATAAGGGGCTGATATCAAAGATCTACAAAGAGCTTGCTTACAAAACTCAACAAAAACAAAATAAAGAATCCTGTCAAAGAATGGGCAGAAGAGCTAAAAAGAGGGACTGCGGACTGGAACTAATTGATATCTACACAATACTTCATCCAGCAAGAGCACCACACGCATCTTAAGATCACATGGAACTTTTACCAGATAGACTACACTGTAGGCCATAAAACACACCTTGACAAATTTATTATAATATGAATCTTACAAAGTATGCTCTCAGACCAAATGGAACTAAAGTGAAAATCTAAAATACAAAGATAGCTGGAAAATCTCAAGTTATAGATTAAACAGCATACTTCCAAAAACATAATCTGTCCTGGCGGAGGATGGTGGTGCTTTCGTGGTGGGTGTAGTGCAATAACATGCATCAGAAGAGTTGTATGAATCTATACCACTGAATCATATGTAGTGTTGTAAACTGACATTAACTCAATTAAAAAATTACACAATAAAAATTAGAATAAATAAATAAAACAGGAGGTTCTCAGGAAAGGCCATCCTCTGAGAGGAAAAGCCCTCTCAAAGGAAACAAGAGCGACTGTTGAGCAAGAATGCTCAACTCCTTATCCTGGAATGTGACCTATCCTCTGAGTTCTCCCTATGACAGTATAGATTCTAACCCACTCAGAAGTATTCAAGGCATATTCTGTCAGTTTAAGATAAAGAGAGAGAGAGAGAGAGAGAGAGAGAGAGAGAGAGAGAGAGAGAGAGAGAGAGAGAGAGAGAGTGGGGGGAGAGAGAGAGAGAGAGAGAGAGAGAGAGAGAGAGAGAGAGAGAGAGAGAGAGAGAGAGAGATGAACTTACCCTGGTCTTGGGATCCCATACCTATATTAAAGGTTGAAGGTATACAAATGCACTTGAAATAATTGCCTGTAACAACTCCAAAATACGGATTTGAATGCCTAGTCCATCAACGACTAATTGTGTAAACTTGAGGAGTAAGTTGCTCCACCTCTCTGAGCCTGTAAAATTGGGGTGATATTAACTAGTACGTTTTTCACTGTGTTGTTTGAGGAGTAAATCAACGATGTACCTAAGTGTTTGGTACAGTGCCTGGGACATCACAAGTGCCCTATCAATGCTACCTAATGCTGGAGCATATATAACCTACTCCCTGAACCTAGTTTGTGCTTAGTCCTAGGCTAAGTATTGTCAGGAGAAAGGAACCAAGAGGAAGGAATGTTGTAAGCCCTCTCGTCAGAGGGCTCAATATCTGAATGGAGAGTGAAAATATTCTGCATGAAACAATCTGCAAACAGTCTGGGACAGGAAATTCCCTGGTGCAAAGGCCGTGAGTCAGAGTAGACAGCCAAGGAAGGGCTGCCCAGAGAAGGAGCAAATAAAGGAGCAGGGAAAATGTAAGCAAAGGGATTGTGGGATGGTCATCTATCTAAAGGGGCACAACAAGAGCAAAATTGTGGAGATGAAATGGAAGCTGGGTTGTCCAAGGGGGTGGTAAGAAAACCAACCTTGAAGAAATGGAGGATGAGATAGATTAGACAGAACAGACCCAAAGCGTGCAAGGTCATTGACAGGCAGCTATGAGAACCTGAAATCATAAAGTTCTTACATTGTGAAGTCCTGGAGTCAGTGAATCCTGGGTTATGGGGTCCAGGAACCATAGAACGCATATGGGTTCCAGAGCTCTGAAAGTGTCAAGTTTGAACCTCTTAGACCACCACTGTCTGACAGAACTTTCTTGATGCTACAAATCTCAAAGTCAGAGGCGTCCAACATAGTAGCATATTGAACACTTGGAATGTTACCTACTGCCAAAGGAAACAAGTTGTATTTTTTCTTTAATTTGAATTAGCTTCCATTTACTTTTCAATAGGTACATGTAACTAGCAGCTACCATTGCACTGTGTAGTTCTAGGCTGTGGGTCATAGAGCTTATAGAGGATTATGACATGAGAACCCCAGATTCACAGAGTGCCGAAGTCAGAGGGTCTTCAAAGGATGCAACACGTAAACCCTTAATGCCGTCCATAGAAAGTCTTTCAGGCTCATGGACCTCAAGTCTTGTTCCATCTCTTTCACCTCAGTCATCCCACAGGCGGAAAGGGCCGTGAATGTGATGCTTGGTGAACTGCGGGCCAATGACAACTTCAACATAACCCCTTTCCTGACACATTAGTGTCTGGAAAGCTGGAAGTTCCATCCAGGCCACCACCCTGAATGTCCACAGTGTCAAGGACTACATGACTGATGGTTGTAAGTGTCAAACCTATCCACCCAAATGGACAGGCTGTGATGATGTGGGGAATTCTTAAAATGTTCCCTTCATTCCCCCATCCACCTGACCTCTCAGAATGCCTAAAATGTCACTATTACATTTCACACAAATATGTCCCTTCATGCTTGTGAGTAGCTTTACCTAGTGGAAAGAACACAGCTGGTTCTTCATGCATTTTAGGGTACATTCCTCTTTGGGCCCAAGTGTCCTCTCACTGTATAGGACATACTCAGAAAAATTTGCTAAGACTTTTTCTTCAAAATCAATGATCTAGGTACCTATTTCCAAGTATTTGAACAAGACACTGCCCTGATTCTGGTTTTTCATCAATCCCCTCTCCCACAATTACTGAAGTCTCCCCCACCCACCATCTCCTGTCAGCTCCGCCCTTCCTTCCCCTGCAGCATGGGAGAGATGCTATCCTAAGAGAGCTCCATTCTGATTAGAGAATGAGACAATGGTGCCTCCCCTCCCCCCACCCCCCAAAGGAAAAGCAAAGTAGACCAATGAAAGTCTACAAAAGAGAGGGATATGTCAAGGACATGTGGGCCCCCACTGTCAGATCTCAGGGTGCCAGTGTGGGGGTGGGATAATTGGAAGGATGAGCAATGAGAAAAGTCTGAGCAAAGACAAGAACATGTGACTGAGCCTGGGGAAGTTGCTGAGGTGCCCATGGTGTCTGCACTGGGGGGTAGAAATCTGGAAGAGATGGTTTCACATTCTGTTCCCCCAATTAAGGACCAACATCAAGATAGCTCTGCTGGCACCTGCTTCAGTGCTGAATCATAGCAACCAGGAGCTTGGGAGAGGCCCCAGTGCGGGGAGGACCCCTCTCATCATGTTCCTGGCAGATGGGAAGCCCACGGCCTGTGCCATGACCCCCCAATGTAATCCTCTCCAACATCCAACAGGCGCTGGGAAGCGGCGTGTCCCTTTTTCAGCTTGGCCTTTGGGGGAGATTCTGACATCCCACTGCTGTGTCGCCTGTCTCTCGAGAACCAGGGAGCAGCCCAGCGCATATACGAGGACAATGAATACGAGCAGCCATACAACTGGACGGCCTTTATGAGGAGAACGCCATGTCTCTGCTGGCAGAGTTGGGAGGCTTGATTGGGACCTCCCCTTGGGCTGTTTTCCCCAACTACTTTGGGGGCTCTGAGTTGGTGGTAGCAGGTGCTGCCCAGTGAGCAGGAACTGGGCATCTACCTGGCAACCTATGGTTCCATGAGTCAGCTTCTCATGGCTCGCCACAGTGAGGTGGCCACCAGCACCAGCCAGAAGGCCTTTGGTTGCCCAGGGTAGCCAGCTCCTGATAAAGCCCTCTTTATGTACCACTTCTGGGCCTGCGTCACCATTGGAGAGCTGCTGGAGGCCTGATTCCAAACTCGTGACATCCCCACTGCTGGCTCCCAAAGTCTTCAACCTGTCCTTGAATACAATTTTGTCACACTTCTAACTTCACTGGTCATGGTGCAACCCAAGGGGGCCAGCGAGGAGGCCAGAGACAGACCTCCATCACCGCTGGACCAGGTGTCACCAGCCCCTCATCCACCAGCAGGCGTGACCTGGGAGCAGGCATAGCCCGGCCATCCATGGTAGCCAAGATTGCTCCTAAATCCAGGCTTATGAAACCAAGGTTCTACTTATGCTCACCTACTCCTGTCTCTACAACGAAGATTCCCCGTTCCAAGGAGTTGGATCAGAGCCTCAGGATCAGAGACCTTATAGCCTGTCCACTCCAGCACGCCCAAAGCCCAAAATTCCAGCACAACAGATTTGGCACTTGGAGCAGTCAGTCAACCCTTCAAACAAAAACTACTGCCCTTTGTCCCTCAGATGCTGGACTTCTGAAGCCCAGGACTCCATCACACCAGAATCCTGGTACCCTATTGATTGAGGAAGTTATGAAATGGGTCCAGGCAGTCAGTTTGGGTCAGGTGCCCCAAGCCCACTTATCAAATTGAATGTTCAGAACACCCAATAGCACAATGCCAAAGCAACGGACCAAAGCTCGTTCCGGAAAAACAAACCCAGTAACCTGGGAGACACAGTGGACCCCCACAACCTAGGAGACCTCATGGGCTTCAACTGCTCAGCAAGAGAACAATGCCAAGACAGCCAACAGCTGAACCCCCACTCCTTGCCCACTATACCCATAGAAACACGCTTCTTGCTCCTTCAGCAGTGACCCACTCCAGACCCCTCTCTGCTCAGAGAGCTTTCCTGTCCTCACCTGCGAATAAACTTCTTGTTTTTCTGCCGAACTCAGGTCTCAACGTTGATTTTTTTCCTTGCTGAGACAAGAATAGAGAGTCTGTGTGAATTTTAGGACCAAAACCCCACCTCTGAATCCTAGCACTCCATCCCAGCCCAAAACCGGCACCATGAAACATGTCACTCCACTGCATTCCACTGTTACTCCACTAGTGCCCCATCACAAACTCAGCTGGATGCCCCATGATACCCTCAGCCTGGGGCACTCTCATCACAGTCACCTGCCACAGCTGAGTCCTGGACTCTCCACAATTCAGATTCCCAAATACCCACCACACTCCAGGCCTAGGGTTCTTCACCTCACCAACATTCCCAAGCTTATCACAGTCCAAAACTAGGACCCAAATCCTTGATATAGCCCAAATCCCAGTGCCGCCAGGCCCAGGTCCCTAGTTCTTCAGAACCTAAACACATCCCCAAGCACAATCTCAGGTCCCACAATTTCCACCTCCGTGCTTGGAGAACATACCCCTACTACTTTTCATTCTACCCTATCCTGCCTACTACCCCCCTGGAAGGACCTGGTGTTGGCATGAGCTGTTTCTGGGGCGATAGAGCACCAGGAAAAGTGTGGGACCTTTAGGCCCCTAGGCCTCCCTGGTGGCCTAGGGGTTAAGTCTCAGCACTGTCACCGCCATGGCCTGAGCTCGATCCCCAGCCAGGGAGCTAACCCACATATGGCACAGCGGACCTCTCCTGTCTTGTTCGCTGCTCCCCTCAGCAGTGTATTTCAGTAAATCCACCTGTTCTGTGCCCCCACTCTGTCTCTGGTGAATCCTCTCACCCTCTGCACCTCTCTGGTCTACACCCCAGTTCTTTTATGCACAAATAAATTTTTAAAAATTTAAAAAATAAGTCTGGGGCCATCTGTGTCAGAATTCCCAACCAACAATGGGCCTATCCAACAGATCCAGGCCTATGTCAGAAGGCAGCCCCCCAAACCTGGCAATATTGCTCCCTGCAGGTGTCAGCCTGCTCCTTTTCCCTGGAAAACTAGAACTGCTCTCTGGACCAATGGTGGAGTTCCAAGTTTGTGTAGTCCTTGAGCCCACTGGCTTTCTGTAACTTCCTCACTCCTGTCGAAGATGGTGAGCACCATGGCCAAGAGGTCACACCATGAGAGGAGGAAGAAGAATGCAGAGCGCCAGGAACTGGGAGTGCATATCACATGTGCAGATTCTAGTGATTGTGTGGCTTCTTGCTTTGAGACTTTGTATTAACAACCTGACCTCCCGGAGCCTCAGTATGTAGGCAGGAATTAAAGGCCCTGGGACAGGAGGAATGATAAAACTGGGAAAGCTGAGCAGAAATAAACTACCAAGCTGTGGCTTTGACATTTGCTTCATTGGACAAGAGAATTGTTTATGCTCCCCAAGAAGGGGAGGGTTTCAAGGTTATAAATAGGAGCATCGCTGGGCAAAGCATGTCTGATTGGTCCTTTGAGCTCTGTGAAAGAACAACCTTGCTTAATGAGAGGGGTATACATATCGGGGAATAAATGATGGCAATCATCTTTAAATTTCCCAAAGACTGTGAAGTAAAAACAGTAACACCTTTTTAGCTCTTCCTGTGTGCAGGTGCTGTTCCACATTTCATCCTCACCAGAAGTTATTAGTATTGGCACCTTATGCCTGGGGAAACCGGAGCACAGAGAGGTGAAGTAATTTGTTCCATGTCATTCGTCTAGTAAGATCTTCGAACCTTCATTATCTGGTCCCACGCTGAATGTGCTTCACCATGGCACTCTTCTGCCTTCCTGAGAAGAGTGACATTTCTGGGTGACCTTATAGGGAGTGGGGAGTGGCAGTAAGTCACATGGATACCAATTTAGAGAAGACCTTCTCAACAAACCCCTTGTCTTCCTCCCCAATATCTCACCCAATATGCCTCCACCCAATATCCCATCCATCTACAGTTCCAGCCAATGTTTACCAAATAAACATACTTCTCACCACCCTGACTATCCCTATCCTAGCACAGACTCCATTGTGTCTCACCTAGAACCAGTCTCCTCACTGGTCTTCCTGCTTTTTCTCCTGAGAGAGATTCTCTTGGCCATTCCCTCCCGGCTGCCAAAGGGATATTTCAAAAACAGATCTCCTCAAGTCCTTCTGAATCACTCGCCCCAGGATTTCCCATCACACCCAGAATGAAGTCCAAAGAATTCTGCATGGCTGACAAGGCCCTGAAAGATCTACCCCCGATCCCTTACCTCTGTGACTTCACCTTCTCTCACTTACTCTCTGAACTCTAGCCTCCTCTCTGTTCCTTCAGTGGTCTCAGCCCTCACCCCAGTCTCACTCGAGGACCTCTTTCAAGCTGTTCCATTTGCAGTGCCCTGCCCCCTTTCAAGCATCCTCATCGCTTTCACACTCCAGCTCATGCCTTATATCTCAGCTCAGACACCCTTCCCACCTTCCCCATCTCCACCACCCCAGACTGCATCACATCTCTATAACCCCTTCAGTGACTCTAATGGTTTTTTCTTGTGGCATTCACCATCATGGGTAACTGTGATTTTATTTGTGTCTGCCTCCCCAAATGAAATAGGACTTTCACCAGATCAGAAATCATGACTGCCCTTTTCACTACCAAATGAATGTTTATAAATACTTATGAAGGTGTGTAAATGCCATGAGGAATAACTGAAGGAATCGTGCACATATCTGAGCTTATAAGACTAAGATGCTGTAGAGAGCACGTGGTCTCACTCCAGGCAATGTGCGGGTCAGATCGGGAAGCCAATGGGGATTCTCCTGGTCAGAAGGAGGCTGTGCCCTTTGGCAGTCCCAGGGAAAATTTGCTCTGGAAGTGTGAGGTATCTCTCTTGTTTCTTTTATGCATGGTAGGAAATCCACATTGGGTTGGCAATTCAGAGGAGATACTGGGAGGAGCTGAAGGCAGCATGGAGTCTCAGGGAAGTTCTACAGGGCTATCAAAAGGTAAACAGGGAAGACCCCTGACAAAGATCCCTAAACTTTCATTTCCATTCGGATAGAATTCTCATAGGCATTATGTGAGCCCAGAGGAGGGGCAGTATATTGCTGCGTAACAAATAATCATAAACTTAGTAGTTTCAAACAATACAAACAATACATTTAATTATCTCACAGTACAGTACTGTAGGTCAGAAGTCTAGGCACAGGTTAGGTGGATTCTTGGCTCAGCGACCCACAAGTTAAAGCAGGTGTCTGTCAAGCTGAGTTCTCTTCATCTTCCACACTCAACGAGGTTATGGGCAGATTTTAGTGCTCTGTGTTTGTAAGACTGAGATCCCTCTTTCCTTGCTGGCCATACATTGGCACTTACACTCAGCTTCTAGGTCACCTGGGCCACTTTCAGGCCCTAGCGTTCTCCTGCATTCCTTGCCATGTGGTCCCTCCAGCTTCTAAGATAGCCACAGAGAATCTCCCTCACATCAAATCCTTCTCACTCTTTGTATCACTCTGACTTATCTGTCTCTAGACCCAGACTTAAACAGCTCATGTAATTAGGTCAGGCCCACTTGGATAATCTTCCTATTTTAAGGTCAACCACATCACATAGCATAACCTACTGATGGGAGTGATAGCTCATCACATCGCAGTCCTGGGGATTTTGCAGGGTGTGTACACGGGATAATGTTGGGGGCCAGCTTAGAATTCTGCCTACCATAGGCAGAGAGCAAGAGAAAAACGGCATTTGGGTCCTCGTTAGCTGAAGGAATGGAAAACGTTTCAGGTGTCAGGAAAAACAGAAGCAAAGGGTCACTAACAAAAGAAAGCAGTGTTCTCATAACAATAGTGATTTCATTTGGACAGGAGCACAAACAGAAGGCTGGAAAGCTAGGCAGAAAGTAGATTTCGGGAAGGACATAAGTGGTGAGCTCAGGGATTTGGCCCTTATTTCAGAAGAGGTGATTCAGAGGCCAGAGGGTCCCACACTCTTGGGAATGTGGTAGACCAGTCCCTTACCAGCACAGTCTCCTCCTTCGCAGGCACTTTGCCAAGTATCTTCACCTCTTCATCCTCAGGCAGGCCAGCACCCTCGCTGTCCTGCTTCAGTACAGGATGGTTGTGCGCTGGGGCTGGGACTGCGCTCTCTCTCTCTCTCTGGGGAAATAGCCATGGTGGCATGTCTATTCCTAGACAGTCTTCCGAGAGCCATAACTTCCTAATGGCATCTCCTGCTTTGCAGTGGATGGGGACCCTGTTTTGTGATCCCACAACCCATGCTCAGAAGAGAAGATATGCTTCATGCTGGCCAGGTGCCCACGGGACCTGTGACAGCTCATAGACGACCCAAAGACAGATGAGAGCCTCAAGGACTCCACCCCACAGAACACCACAGCCAGATAGACTCAAGTAAACTCCCTCTGACACTTGTGGACTACCACGCACAAATAGGAGCACAACTTGCTGACATGCAAGTTCACACCCAAATATGAAAACACCCTAAAATTCACACAAACACCAAGACAAGTATACACAAGTATACACACACAGGGGCATAGAGTAAACACACACAAATGCACACCCAGGCACACATATTTTGACACTCTACACCCACACACAGCAACATACAAATATGCACCCAGATACACAGTGACACACATTACATGGCCAGTCACACACAACTACACACACACTAACAAACTCAGACATGCAGTCACCGATATATTCCCAGATTGATCCCAATACCTAGGAATTCAACACACGCTGCTACTTTAGACATATGAAGCAACGCTGATGCACACAAATACTCACCATGATCCATACCCAGGTTCATGCACACCGACACTCCCCCAGCCCACATACATGGCAATATCCACAGAGTGACAGGTAAGTTCATATAAAGACATATAAACCCCACATATGCAGAAAGACCCATAAACACCTAGCCAAAACTCACACACTCTCACAACACCTTCCCCATATACGCAGATGCACTGACATGCCAAGGGACACACATATGAACATGATCCATTCCACATGCTGACACACTCAGAGGCAAATACAGACATGCAAACAGCCACACCACATGAGCACGTGTGTGTTTATATACCCCATACACTGCACAGGAAGGGGCACTGGATGTGCCGTGGCAAAAATACTTTCCTCGACTCTGAGTCCAATTAGCAGATACTAGAAGGGAAAGGGAAGGTGGGTGGGTAAGTTGGGGGGACGGGGACCATGGCATGTTGAAGGATAGAATTGGACTTTGAGGGCTAAACTTAATGTTGATTCTTCATGACGCACCCCTGAAACTTCTATAATGTTTTAATGCGATGTTATGTCAAAAAAATAAAATACTAAAAATGGAAAATAAAATAAAAAAACTCAAAAACTTCCTCAGGAGCTAGCTTTTTTAACCACAGACCTGTACGTCCTCATCTGGACCCCTGGCACTGAGACCTCAATCCCAGCTGCGCTCCGTGAAAAGCCTGCAATATCTCCCCCAGGACTGCAGGCAGGTGGACAGCTTCTCGGGGCACGGCCAAGCCAGGCCAGGAGGACCAGATGTGCCATGACCCCAGGATCATTACAGTCACCGCAGACAAAAGCCAGGCCCATGCTATCACTGTCAGTCTCAGTTCCATATCTGTGTGAGGGGAGGGTACCTTGCACCTGTCCTGGGACCACCCTGCTCTGCTGAGGAGGCCTTAGCTAGAGCTCCATGTGGCTCCTGCAGCCCACCTCACCCTCTGCATTAGACCCCACCTTGAGTTCCTAGTCTTCCAGCTCTGCTATGGGCACCTCTGCACCCTGCCACTACCCAACCTGGTGTTCGATGTCATCAGTGGCTGGTGCCTCAGCACCTTAGCTTGGGCCTGCTGGGTAAGTGCTACTGAGGCTGAGTAGGCTGAGGGAGCACCAGTTCCAACAGAGACTCTGCTAAGCTGAACAGCCAGGGAGCCCCAGCACCCTGTCCCCCAAGCCACAAAGGGGAACCAGAGCCAAGCGACACCCTTGGGGAGCGCCTGGCGGCCTGGGGACAGGACAGACACAGACCTGGATAGTGATCACAAGGAGTTATCAGAGCTGGACTGAAAGCTGCAAAGGGGACTGAAAGAACCCAGGGTGGGGGCACACCAGCCAGCCTTGAATCTCCAGAAAGCTCTCCTGTGGAGAGAGACCCACGGCAAGTCTGGAAGACCAAGCAAAGGTGTAGAGGAGATGGAGCTGGCGTGGACAGAGAAGAATGCCACGTATCCTGAAGACAGTGGGGGAGCCACGAAAGCTTATAAACAGTGGAAAGACAGTCAATTCTGGGTGTCATGTCCTTCCAGAGGCTCTGTGAAGTGGCGTAGGGAGTGGAAGTGGAATTACAGGAAGCCAGACTACAGGTCAGGAGGCACTGGCAGAAACCGAGGCAGAGGCCCACACCCAAAATTTTGGGCAGTAGTGGTGGGTTGGGCAGAGATTTTTGCCTCCTCTGGGCGCTCCTGTTCCCGCCCTCTCCTTCCCCTCAGTCATCCCTGTCATCTCAAGCCTCTCTCCCTTCCGCTGCTGCTATCTCATTCACCTTGGTTCCCCACTTCCATATTATTCTCCTGTTCCATCTGACTCTATGATTCCCACAATGTCCAGCCTCAACCATCCTCCAGGCCTTTGCTGCCTCTCCTCTCTCCCTCCTTTCCTTCTAGATTCCCTCTCAGAAATCTCACAGGGCACGCAAACCAAGGCTCTGACAGGCTCTGCATCTTTCTCCCTCAGGGCAATGCCAGCATGCAGATATCTGACTGGTGGCAGGGCCTATGGGGCCAAGTCTGCAGAGGCACCAAAGCCTAGATGTGCCTGGGGCTCTAGGCAAGAGGATGCTGAAGGACACCCTACTGGGCTTCCTGCTGGCTGGTGAAGCACTCTCCTGTACAGCAGCTATTGAGCCACCCCTGCCTTATGATGTCCTATAGTGGCCACTGAATCTCAGAACTGGGAGACCTGAACTAGGGAGACCCAGAGGGCACAGAATGGGATGAACCAGGACCAAAGACCTTGGGACATGAACACACACACACACACACACACACACACACACACACACTAAATGACACACAAACACACAGAGAAATGCAGACCTGTAGGTCTATAGAAATAGAGGCCTAGGGTCTCCTGCCTCCTCACAGTCCTTTCTGTCTCATCTCACTTTCTTCAATCCATACTCCATACCAGCCTTGGAGAGTGAGTTTCTTAAAACAAAAAATGGAGTTAACCAATGCTGTTCATAACCTTCTCTGGATCCCATGGTTCTTGAAGTACACCCCCCCCCACCACCACCACATTAAACTATGCTCTCTCCCACCACTGGTCACTTGTATGTGCTTTTCTTTCTACATAGGACTCCCTCCCTTGGCTTCATGTAGGTAATTTTTTTTTTTTAAGATTTATTTATTTATTTATTTATACGAGCGCTGGGTACAGTCAGAAGCACGGGAGGGTGAGAGAATTCACCAGAGCCAGAGCAGAGAGCAGAACAGGCAGAGTGACGAAGTACACTGCTGAAGGGAGCAGCGGGCGACAGGAGAGGTCTGCGCACCATGTGGGACCCTTGCCCGGTGGCCGGGGATCGAACCGGCACTGCAGAGGCTGCAGGCAGCTTCGCAACCCAGCGCTCAACCACTGCGCCAATGGGGAGGCCCCATGTAGGCAAAATTTAAGCATCCTTCAAATCTTAGTTGCATCTCCTCGGGGAGACCTTCCCTGACCCCTCCCCTAGATTGAGTTTGGCCTTCTCCTGTGTTCCATAACCCACTCCCACCCTATCCAAGGTCCAAACACTTGTTATCTTATGTAGCAACCCCCTATTTATTTGTCTGGATCCCTGACTTAGACTGTGAGCTCTTTTAGGGCAATGACCTTTTCTGAACCATCTGTGCATCCCCAGTACCTGGCACACAGTTGGTGCTTATTAAATTACTTGCTGAATGAATGAATGAAAAAGGATCCCATGACACAGCAGTGGACACAGACACACACATCCACAACTAAAGACACAGGATAGACATATGCAAACAAGCACAAGGATCTCAAACCAAAGGGAATGGAGGTCGGGTCACATAAACCTACAAAGAGGGGGACAGGGTGCCAGAGGGACAGTATCAGGTACATAAACCCATCTCTTTCTGGGCATCTGTATCCACATTCTGAGGTACTGTCCCTGTCACAGACAACGAAGCAGAGTGATTAAAGAACAAGGTCACCAGGGACAGGTACACAATGACTAATGAGAAGACAGTGAGGCATAACGATAAGACATATAGATTGCAAAGAGATATAGGCATAGGGGCAGAGGAATTAGACACACAGTGGCACATAGAGACACATGAACACACAGAGGTAGACAGGGAGACACCTCTCAAGATCACAGTCCAACACACCAAATGTAGAATGGTAGAGACACACGGACATGCTGACTTGCAGGTATGGGGTGGGGGGGGGGAGGAAAACACTGAGACACCGAGACACAGGGTCACAGACCTCACAGGACTTAGAAATAGACCCAGAATTGTTGACAGAGACCCAAGGACACGAACACCTGAAGAAGAACACACTAAGAACACAGACATATATTCAGAGTGACAAAGACATGGGAATGCAAAGACCTGAAGACTGACAAAGAACAAGGAGATAGGGGTCAGTCCAGGCAACAGAGACATAAGAACAGCCAAGTATAATGTGATCCAGACATTGTGACCCATTGACAGGGACATGGGAATTCAGAACAGAGAAGAGATCTTAGAACAAGTAGACATGGGGCTGTGAACCCACAATCACAGCACATGGGTATAGGCCAGACATAGGGACAGAAACACAGAACACATCTGGAGCGGTCAAGGTAAGAACAACAAAACCTAGACACATCGAGACAGACACACAGAAATGAAGCAAATGGGGAGACACAGGGACAGGAAATCTGTCAAGAGAGACAGCATTGCAAAGACATAGAATCAAGATGCACCTGGGAACACACAGAAGTAAAAACACACAAACAACCAAGGCCTCAAGCAAAGTAATGGGGAGAGTGAATCTAACCCAGGGATACAGAGATAATGCCCCCCCCCAAAAAAAAATAAAGTCATGGGTCAAGACACCAAACACAAACAGAGACAGGGACACAGGGGTAGTGAGTCAGATGAAAGCAAACACAAGGATAGAGCAAAACAGAATGAGAAACAGATACAGAGGCACCCTGGCAAATGGGCCCATAGAAACATGAACATAGTCATGTGTACCCAGAGAAGAAGACCAAGGGACTGAGAGAAAGAGTTAGCGATTCACAGAACAACTTAAGACACCGACACAGCAACAAAGGAAACAATAATACAGAGACACTGGCAAAAGCTGGGGCAAATAAATAGAGAAGTAGGATGAATGCCAAGTCCCAGATCTCCAAATCGCAGATATGGAGATGCACAGACTCAGGACTCACCAGAAAAGGGCACATGGAAGGAGGTCTATGCCGGGTTGTCAGCACAGATACTAGAACACAGAGGCTCAGAGAGAGACATCCAGACACAGAAATACAGACTCCGGGACACACTGAAGTTGGATCACAGAGGTTCAGGAATATGCAAAGACTCGGGGATACACAGAGACAGGGACACACAGACTCTAGAACATAGAGGCTCATGGGCACCCAGACAGGGAAACACACACACACACACACACACACACACACACACAATCACATGCAATATATCAAGCTTCAGGGACAGGGACATGCAGACTCAGGGATGCACAATGACTCAAAACAAATAAAGGCTCAGGAACGTAAAATATCAGGAATACACAAAAAGTCAGCCATGCACAGAGAAAGGGATGCACAAACACTTGAACACAGGGACTCCTTGTGTTAGGGGGAAAAGGATGTCCTAAAGCTAATTCTCAATATCGGGGCTGCCCTATAACACTTGGATGCTGAGACACACAGAGAAAGAGAGACACAGACACTAGATGGCAGAGGCTCAGGATATGCAAAAATTCAAGTCCATTCAAGGACAAGGATGGGGGATTACAGAAGAGGGGAGGTCAACATGGCAGCAGGGAAACACTGCGAGTAAGTCCTCCCATAAAAAAAAAAAAAGTTAACAGGGAGGAAAAGTGGCAGGTCCCTGCAAAAAGCAGGACACGGAAGATAAACGGGCAACTCTGGCAAACTGCCCGAAGAGGAAAGTTGCCATAAAAGAGGACGAAAAGAGAGGAAAGCTCAGAACCCTGCTACCCTCCCCCAGCCACAAAGCCGGCACACTCCAACCAACAGAAAGAAAAAACAACAGCAACGAGAACAAACTACAGATCAAGCGGGACTGTGAGTGGAAAGGAACTATTGCAGGCACTGCACCCCGTGAACAGGAACTGTGGAGAACCGAGAGGGAATCGCCATGGAGGTGAGCTAATGGCTCAAGGCGCCATTAGAGGAAGATAAGGACTCCGTGGAGAGACCTGCAAATAGCCAAAGGCCAGCCTGTAAGCTTGTGTGGAAAAGCATGTGCTCGAAAAGCATACGGGCATCGCGGCTGCCCAGGTCCCCATGCCCGTGCCCTAGGTTCGTGGGGAGACACGTGGGAACAGTCACTGAGGTGAATGACCCTCACGGAGTAATCACAAACCAGGCATTTGGGCAAGGGCGCAGGGTGCAAAAGGTGCCATTTCTGTGGACACTGAACTGGGCTACCGCCTGCGTCCCGAATCTGGGGTCTTCGGTACTGAGACCCCGGGCACGAAATTCGGGGCGTGGGATCCCCATGACATGCGGCACAGGGCAGACACAGCACCCCATGCTGTTGAGACATTCCACGCCACCCCCACTCAGTTCCCCAGAGACCCACGGGGGGGGG